GTGAGCTCGCGTGCATCGCATGCAGGCAGGAGCCTCCAGAGGCCAGAAGAGGGAGTCGGGTCCTCTGGAAATGGAGTGATGGGTAGTTCTGAGCCACCGTGTGAGTGTTGTGAGCCAAACCCAGGTCCTCTGCCGGAGCGGTCAACACTTCACTGGTGAGCTAGCTCAAGGGTGTTTTCCCCTGTAGAGACTGGAGGGACGTTCGTGGTTAGAATTGGAGAACCCCCACCACTCGGTGACCTGGTGAAATCCTGTCCTGGGGATCCGTGAGACACACCGTACTATCACCATTGTTACTAGGCAGCTGGCCTGGAGACCCTGCCACGAGACAGTGCATTCCTCTCTCGCAGCGCTTCCGTGGTTCTGTAATATTTGCTTACGAACTGAATTGTGCCAGGCCTGGAGGCCCATGCCTGTAATCCCAACACTCAGGAAGCTGAGGCAGGAGGACTGCTGAAATTTGATGGCCAGCCTGGGCTACATAGTGGGACCCTATATTTAAAAAAAAAATTAAAGCCCTAAATTCCATCATCCTCCTGATTGTAGGGACCAGCATCCTCACTCCCATTTTTCAGGGTACCACAGCTGAACAGGCCCTGGTTTTAAAAAAGGAAAAAAAAAAATCCTGCCTTTGTTTCAGGCTCTGAGTTCTAGGACCCAGGGAGGCTTGGCCTTCGAGAGGCACGAGATGTAGAGGTCAGAGAACAGCTGGTGGAGGCCTAGGGTTCCAGCTCCGGTCATCAGGCTTGGCAGCAGACGTCTTTACTGATTAAGCCACCGTCCCCTCCTTGTGAGTTTAACTTAAGAGTGTCCAAAAGACAATGCCTTCCTCGCCCTGATGGTACGTGACTGGGGGAACCGACAAACCAGTGTCCACAAGAAAAAAAAAGGTTAAACAATTAGGCCAGCCACAATTAGATACTAAGTGAGCCAGGTCTGATGCCGCGCACCGCTAACCCCAGCATCTGGTGGGCATGGCAGGTCTCTGTGAGTTGGAGGCTAGCTTGGTCAACAAAGGAGTTCCAGCCAGCCAAGCTACAGTGAGTGAGACCCGGTCTTTGAAAAAGTCTGAGAGGTCTAGAGATGCTGGAGCTGTTAGGGAGCCGCAGGCTACAGGAGCGATTATCATCCACCCGCCTCCCTCCCATTCCCCATAACCCTGTTCTGGATGTGTGCCGCCACACTCTTGTAGGTACCGGGGACCTAGATTAAATCCTGTGATTGCTCAGCAAGGGCTTTGCCCACTGAGCCACCTGCCAGGCCCTCCTGGTTTTTTCTACAAACTAGGAAGGCGCTCCTTGTTCTGGCCTTGATTCGGCCTCTGGTCTTCAGCACTGGCCCTTCTGAAGTCAGGACATATACTCTCAGCACTGTCCTTTTCGGAATTGCTGCCCGAAGCTCTGGGGACCAGCCCCTCCCGCCAGCGATGGCACCTCCATATCCTTGTTCCCACCTGTCCAGGTTAGAGAACTCAGAAATGCTAGTCAGGAGCCACCGTTTGTCTTGGGCCCTGGACAACTCATCTGTGGAATGGAGTCAGCATGGCTGCCATCACTAAGGCCTGCTATTTCATGTCGGTCATCAAGTATCTCTGTGGAGGCTGGAGCATAGCCTTCACTGGGTGGATCTGGCCCCAGATCCTGTTAAGGTAACTCACCCTTCCCCAGTGAGAAATTCTGTCCTTGGAGATAAAGGGAGAAGCTGTCATTAGCACATACTTGTAGCTGCTAGCTGTTGCTTAAAGAGACCCAGCCTCGATTAGAAGCATTTCATAGCTTAAACAGAGACAGGCAGGCATTGGTATAGTCTGATCCAGACGACCATTTGAGGGTGATCCTGGGGGATTTTCCTGGAGGTATTTCTCACCCCACCCCCGGAGCTAAGGAGTTACAGAAGCTGAGAACTGCAGGTTTCTAGTTGGAGGAATTTGCCGTCTCACGGGTATGGGTGGTGGTCACCGCTCAAGGGAGAAGAGGGTATACATCCTTCAGAAAAGAGGAAAGAGCCAGGAGGTTCACACAAGCAGACATCAGCAGGGTGGGTTTAGCACTTGTCTCAGAGGCAGGGTTCCTCCGTCTATGTTCCTATTCCTGTGACCCCTAATAGTTCCCAAGTACGATTGTTAGTCATACGTGTTAATGTTAAAGCTTGCTACTTCCCTTCCTTGTGTTAATGTTAAAGCTTGCTACTTCCCTTTCCCTGTCAATCCCCGCCAGATCCTGCCAGATCACTGGTGGTACCAGGAAGTGGGCAGTGTGGGGGCTGGAGGGGGTGAAATGAGAGCCCAGCCTGGGCCACCCTCAGCTCCCCTGCCCCTTGGCCCAGTTCACCACCCCTATGGTTTGCTGGGCCACTGAACACACTTTGCAGTGATGGTCCCACCCAGCATGGTATGGGTGGGGCTACTAGGGAAGAAAGGGGCAGTCTCACAGGCTCCTTGCTGTCTCCCCACCCTCACCTACCCACCCACCCCACCTCTGTGGCCCTGGGCAGTGTCAGCTGCCTAGAATTACCTAGACAGGCTGAAACAGACCAACTTTCCTGGAATTCCAAGGAGATAAGAAGTAGGATGTGGCCTAGAGGCATCAGTCCCAGCCCTTCCCTGCAGAGGTGCTGTCCCAAGGAGGCTCTGCCTGACTTGGATGCTGGGAGCTGAGTCCAAGCACTCTGGAAGAACAGTGCACTCCTAACCACTGAGCCATCTCTCCAGCCCGTTTTCTTTTTTGATAAAGCTTGTATTTGTGTGGGGGTGCCCGCTAATACCAGAGGAGGGTGTCAGAGCGCCTGGAGCTAGAGTTACAGATAGGACGTGGGTGTCGGGGACTGATGGAGGCCTCTGCAAGAAGAGCAAGTGTTTGGTTGTTGATTTGTTTTGTTTTTTTCAACACAGGGTTTCTCTGTGTAGCCTTAGCTATTCTGTACTCGCTTTGTAGACCAGGCTGCACTCACGGAGATCTGCCTGCCTCCCTGCGTGCTGTGATTAAAAGTGTGTACCCCCACGGCTCAGCACATATTCTTATCCACTGAGTCATCTCTGCTGTCCCTCAGTTTTCTTTTTCCTCTAGTGCTTGGGGTACATGAGAACTTGTATCATGCCTCTGAGGTACAGCTCACAGCAGCGCAGACCTGTACCCTCGCCGCCCTAAGCCCATCACAAAGGATGGTGTCCTGGGGCTGCTGCCAGCACCTCTTCTCAGAGCTCATCAGCTCTAGCCCCTGTCTTAAATGTCCACGTATACTGTCTCATTTCCCTGAAATTCTAAGTGATTTCAACATAAACACCTATCACTAAATACAGCCTTTTGGGGTTTTCTCTTAAGATTTATTTTGTTATTTATGTGTATGTGTGTGTGTGTGTATCTGTGTGTGGGTAACTGAGAAAACCAGAAAAACACCTCAGATCTCCTGAGGTGGGAATACTGGCAATTGTGAGCCACCCAGCATGAGTTCTAGGGACTGAGCTTGGGTCCTCTGGAAGAACAGCGTATCCGTCTCTCTAACCCCAGGGTTCTTCTTTCTGAAAACTTGATAAATATTACTGCATATTGTTACAGACTTATGGGAACCCCTGGCCCCAAGACCAGTATGTACAATAAGCTAGTTGACCGTGTAGGTAGAAGACCCTTTATAGGGCCGAGGAGGGTATGGTGGGACCTTTCAGGATTCCTGGTCTGCTTCTGAAGTCAGGGTGACATGAGCCAGGCATGGGCTGTGGCAGATTCTCGGGGTTGAGGAAACTTAGACCTGGGGGTTGCTGGCTCTCAGCTACACAGAACTCCCCCAGGAGGAAGGCAGCCCTGTTGAGATACGCCATGGCCTGACGCTAATCTGTTCAGGACTGGTGGGCCTCTGACACCAAGGACACAGGATGCTTCCAAAGGGCAGAGGCCACCAGACAGCAAGGTGTATAGGTCCCCACACAGGCCAGATGGGCCTTTGAGGGTGCAGCACCCTCTGACCCACTGAGAAACATCTGTCCTCACTTACCATGGCTTGTACAGCCCCTGGCTCCAGGTTGCTCTGCATCCTGGGAACCTTCAAGGACACGGCCTGAGCCTGCCAGCCCACAGGAGCTCCAGGAGGATGACAGGACTTTGGAGGACCAAGAGCTGCCCTGGGGGGCTTCGTCTGCAGTCTCTACATAGAGTAAAGGGCCAGACAGCTCTTGTCACAACTATCACTCCTGTGCCTTTCGGGATGTGTGTTGGCGGCAGCTGGGGCCTCCTCACTCCCTCACTAAGCTGTATCAGCGGAACACCTGCTGGTAGGCCCCACACAAGAGTGGGGGTAGGGAAGTCAGAAATTCAACAAGGCCTTAGCCAGGAAAACCTGTGGGTGTGCTTTTGTTTGCTGTCTGGGAAGGGAAGGGGCGCCATATATACCCATCTGTCTAGAGTGCCCTGATGTCCCCACACCAATCATCAGAATGTACCTAGGAGAAGCCAGGCATGGTGGTGCATGCCTTTAATCCCAGCACTCGGGAAGCAGAGGCAGGCAGATCTCTGTTTGAGGCCAACATGGTCTACAAAGCGAGTCCAGTACCGCCGGGCTACAAGAGAAAGCCTATCTTGAAAAAACAAACAAACAAAAAGAATGTGCCCAGGAGAAATTGCCCTGTGTCTGTGCTGCACAGAGGAGGAAAAGCTAAGGTCATTCTTCCTTCACCTACACGTTTGCACCGTGGCTACGGCCTTACTGGGTGTGAAAGAGTGCGGCACTCTGGTTCTCCCAACAAAGTATAGGCAGGTTGTTCATCCATGAGTTGGACTGGGGCAAGAAGGAACTGAAGCCAGTCCCTACTATTCTGTGGTCCTCCCACTTGGAAGGCATGCCCTTGACAGTTTCCTTCCCTCAGAGCCCAGGGGTTTCTACTCAGACATGAATGGCAGAGCCGAGAGGAGCCGCAGCTGGACCCTGTTGAGGCACCACAGTCACCATTGCCCTGCCCCTTCTCCCTCTAACTGTGCTGATCTCTTCCCCCTCCCCCCTTCTCATTGTAGGAAGTTCTACTACATCACCCTGCTGCGAGACCCAGTGTCCCGCTACCTGAGTGAGTGGCGACACGTGCAGCGTGGAGCCACGTGGAAGACGTCTTTGCACATGTGTGACGGGCGAACGCCGACCCCAGAGGAGCTGCCGCCCTGCTACGAGGGCACAGACTGGTCAGGCTGCACGCTGCAGGAGTTCATGGACTGCCCCTACAACCTGGCCAACAACCGGCAGGTGCGCATGCTGGCTGACCTCAGCCTGGTGGGCTGCTACAACCTGTCCTTCATCCCCGAGAGCAAGCGAGCCCAGCTGCTGCTGGAGAGCGCCAAGAAGAACCTGCGCGGCATGGCCTTCTTCGGCCTCACGGAGTTCCAGCGCAAGACGCAGTACCTGTTTGAGCGGACGTTCAACCTCAAGTTCATCCGGCCCTTCATGCAGTACAACAGCACGCGGGCGGGCGGCGTGGAGGTGGATGAGGACACCATCCGCCACATCGAGGAGCTCAACGACCTGGACATGCAGCTCTATGACTATGCCAAGGACCTCTTCCAGCAGCGTTACCAGTACAAGCGGCAGCTGGAGCGCAGGGAGCAGCGCCTGCGCAATCGTGAAGAGCGCCTCCTGCACCGCGCCAAGGAGGCGCTGCCGCGGGAGGACGCGGAAGAGCCCGGCCGCGTGCCCACCGAGGACTACATGAGCCATATCATCGAGAAGTGGTAGTGGTGGCAGGGGCAGAGAGTGGATGGGGCGAGAGTTCACGGGGAAAGAAGTGGGGCCAGCGCTTCCTGCTGTTTGGCGTAGAGGGAAGCGCGCTAGTAGGATACCCTAGACCCTGATGGGCAGGGTAGGACCTTGAGGCGGATGGCCTCCCAGCTCCCCTGGCCCCCGTGTCGCAGTTAAAACTGACGAAGATTTGAAAAGAGACTGGCGATGGGGACATGTCTGCTCAGCCAAGAGTCCCACACCTACTATGCACGCACTGGCCCCCATGACCAGCCCTCTAGGAACACGTGACTAGCTCCTAATAGCGCAATTGAAGCTCCTTGGCCTCTGGGAAACCCTAATAACCCAGAATCTTGGGGAGCCTTTTCCTTGAGAACACAGGTGTATCTCTGAGGTGTCCTGGACTAGCCCCCTCCACACCCCGCCCGTCAAAGCTGCTTTCAAGGTCAGGGTCAGCCCCTACTATTTCAGAGAAGACTGTCTGGCACCCGGCCACTGCACTCTGGGCCTTGAGCAGAATCCACAGTGCATCCTGGCTTTGGGGAACCAGGCTCAGGCAGGAATGGGATGGACACCAGGAGTCCCCCTCCCCAACCAATCCCTATGTTTTCTGATCCACTGCCCCCAGCCCCATTACTGGGACATTTATACAAGGGCTCATGTGCCAGTGTTCCCACCATACCAGCAATTCTTAGTCCGGCGCATGAAAGCATCCATTGGCCGGGATACAGGGCCACACCAACCTGAGTTGGTACTGGATGGCCAGGATGGGGATTTTCCCATTCTCAGCTAAGATGGGGAGAAATAGCTCTACGTGTCCTTCTGGGGGCCTGAATGCACAACCCCCCAGACCCTGGCTCTCCAGGTGTCATCCTGCCCTTCACAAGTATGACCAGGCTATTTCCAGCAGATCCATGGGCCGGCCAGTGACCCTTCTAGAAGCCATGTTGCACAGCCAGCCCTCACCTGGTGCCCTATCCCTTACCTTCTCTAGGAGGCCCTGGCGGAGACATCACGGCTTTTTTCAGAGTCCGACTGCATGCAGCCAAGCATTGTGAGCTGACCCCGAGGCAGGACAGGCCCTCCTCCCATGTCCATCTTACTCAGCACTCAGGCTAAGAAGGGGTGGCGTCGCCACAGACTAGTGGAGGCCGGATGTAGCACAGCAATATTCCAGATGTTGGCAGGTGTAGCTGCTGCTCAGGAGTGATGGCCTGACACACACATGTACGGTATGGGACCTACACTCAGGTACCAGGCACTTGACCTTGGGGTCCACAGGCAAGGTGTGTTCTGATGGCACTGCCCAGTCCAGTCCAGGGACACCTTTACAGTGGGTGGCCACACTGAGGAGGTTGGTAGCAAGATGAGTTAGGAGGTCAAGGTCACTGTGAGAGGAATCGGCGTAGATGCTCAGTTTAGCGTGACTATACTTCTGGGGGGAACGTGGGACATCTTTGGGGATCCATGGGGTCTTTTCCAGGTCATGTTGGTTGCAGCCAGCTTCTGTCAGGAAGTACCCCAGCTCCATATGACCCCTCTTCACAACTCTCTGTATAAACAACCCAAACACAGAATCTGTTCTAGACATATTGGAATATGTTTTTACCTATGCCCCGCCCCCCTGACTCACAGAAGCACGGGTCTCTTCTCAGTCTTTGCTGCATTTGAAAACTTGTCCCCGCCCATCTCAGGCCAGTGCCAGGCTGAGGCAGCCTCAGCCCCTCGATGGCCCACCCCTGCCTAAGGCTCAGGCCACCAGCTTTGGGGCACAGCTTCCTGGTACTCAGCATCTCAGAACAGGGTGCACCCCCGTCCCTCCAGCTCTAAGGACTCTGCCCACCCCGGGGACACTCCCTGGGGCGGAGAGGCCATGCAAATGCAGCAAGCTAACAACTCAGCCCCGAGGCACCCCACAGCCCTGCAGATACCCCCTCGTAGAGTGGGGGCCACAGGACTGTCCACCGGCGCGTCTGAACTGGAAGTGTCTCACTTGAACCCAGGAGCTTTACAGCTTTATTTATTTATGGCTTCTTATTAAAAATAAAAAATAAAAATAAAAAGTGTTGAGAAGGAATCTTTTGGTTATTCATATGAAGCAAAGAAATGATGGAAAAGCAACTGGTTGTCTTCTAATTGTCTTTGTCTAGGTGGAGAATGAACATAGCAGATGAAATAAACCCTGAAAAGGTCATTGTGTGCTGTGGTCTGTGGGAACGGCCTTCCCAGGCACTGCAACTGGCTCCATCATTGGGGTCTAGGTAGGGGTGCTGCTGGGCCGCAAATGCCCCGGCATAGAGTGAGGCGCTGGGTGAGTGAAAACACTCATAAAGGGTAGAAACGGTCATCATTTGTTCCAGCCTGTGGGCAGGTGACAGCCGGTGAAAGGGAGGCTGTCACCAACAGTGACGCAGTGCCACCTGTCACGACTTCCTCTGCTCAGCTTTAACTTGGAAATGTTTCAGGTGACAAAGAGAAGGATGGCTGTAGGGATGTGTTTCGGTTGGCCGAGGGTTTGTCCAGCGTGCAGGGAAACCTAGGTTTGTCTAGCATGCCGGGAGGCCCAGCACTAAGGAGGCAGGAGAGTTGGTTCAAGGTCATCCTTGGTGGCAGCAAGTCGGCTGTGTAGAACCCTGTCTTCGGTAAAGCTAAGCTCATCCTTCATTGTAAGACGTTACAAGTTAATTGGAAATATTTCACGCTGAGATGGTGGCAGCTGTTCTTGGAGACCATTGGCTCCATGTTAGTTCTTTAGCTGTTGCTTTTAACACAGCTTCATGAGTGAGTTACAAAGAGCAGAAGTTTGCCAGGCATGCTGGCAAGTGTCAACAATCCTAGCAAAAAGAAGGGTTCTTTTAGCTCCAAAGTAGAGGGGTTGCTGTGGTAGCCTTCTTGCTGGCAGAGCCCTCTCTGCCTGAAGACAGGTTGCACCAAGTGAGAGGTGAGTGAGCCAAGCATGAAGCAGTCCTGTTTTGCTGTAATTCCAGCCCTCGGGAGACACAGGCAGGAAGATCACAAATTCTAAGCAAGCCTGAGCTGCATAGCAATAACCCTGTCTAAAACAATATGGAAGACCAGTAAAGCAGTTCCGTTGCTAAAGTACTTATTTGCCTTGCAAGCATAGGCTCTGAATGCCTGAAACCCCAGTGCTGATGAGACAGACACGGGGCTCCAGCCAGCCTAGCCTAGTGAGTTCCAGTCCACTGAGAGACCCTGACTCAAAACAAGGTAGTTGGCTTCTGAGGAATGACAGCTGGGGTCCTCTTCTGGGCCACACACACAGGTGCCCACACATGCTCCCAAAATGGAAGACACGTGTGTGTCCCCTAATAAAGCCACGGGATTTATTCATGGGATTCTACCCTGCTGTTTTCTAACCCTAATCACTTCCCACGGTGGGCCCATCTCTGAATACCATAGTCAGAGGGAGGCTCCACTCTTAAGTACTTCCTGCTGTGGATTAAACTCCATACATAAAGCCTTAGAGGACCTTAGATACCCCAATCGTATCGAAGCCACAGCCAAGCCCCAAGGATTCAACGGAGGTAATAATTTGTCATGCTGTTTGCTCAGTGCTTCATTTTCCATCTTCTACACACAGACACACATGCACACTCATACTTTCTGGAATATCTGAAAGGTTGTGGTCATCAGACTCCTCCACCCCTAAACACTTGCACATATGCCTACCAAAATAGCATTGTGCTGTGCCATTCAACCCGGCTGCCCGTGTCCCCCAAGCATGACCCATATGCAGGATGACTATCTGGTGTATCCCATAAATGTCTGTAGAAACAAATACTGCCTCTTGTGCTCCTCCTGTATGGCTTAACTAGACCCTCACCCCACCTCATCCCATTCCCCTGGTCCTCATCGTATTACTGATATCGTGTATGTGTGAATGAAGGTACAGGAATATGCCACAGTGCGATGTGATGGATGGATGACCTTAGGTGTTAGACCTTATTCTCCATCTCGTTTGAGACAGGATCTCTTTGGTGGCTTTTTGCCTACGCCAGGCAGGCTGGCCTGCCTGCACTGGGGGATTCTCCTGTCTCAGCTTCCTGTTTCCTCTTAGAAGTGCTGGGATTACAGGTACTAAGTGTCCAGCCTTTACTTGGGTTCTTGGAATAGGAACTCGGGTCCTCACGCTTGCGTGGCAAACACCCACTGAGCCATCTCCTGTCTCCCAGCCCCACCACTGATACTATCGACTAAAATGAACCATGGGTCCCTTAAAAGGCGCACGACCCCTTCCCCGCTGATCCAATTATTTACGTGTCATAAACCTGAACAAAAGGCAGAGGCCTGGTGCTGCTGAGCATTGGTTCCATCCTGGGGCCTGGAGAAGACAGTCACAAGGAACTCCAGCCATCCTGTAGAACCCCCAAGGACTAGTAACCTGGCAGCAAAAGCAACCCTTGTCACTTAATGGTGACGTGAAGATCCCAGCCTCACTCCAGCCCAGGTTTCCAGCATCCACCACTGAGTCACACAAGGAAGCGTCAACAAAATTGTAAGAGGGATCAGGCAAGGCTTGGCACTGTGTGTTTCTGTCAGTGCTGTTGATTGAGGAAACACATCAGAAACGGAGGGAGGGTGAGTCATCCCCAGGCTGTAGCTGCTCCTTAGGCAGGACACCATTTCCATTCAGACTCAAGGGCTGGGCTGAGCCACCCACTTGCACCGTGGTGCCCCTGCTTCCAGAGGTAACAGTGGTCTAAGTGGCTGCTGGCTGCTGCTATTGCTGTGGTAATGCCAGTGGCTCCCAAGCTATGGCAGTGGCCACCAATTTCCTGGTAATAACCAGAGAAAACTCTGGTTCAAGAAGCGAACACACACACACACACACACACACACACACACACAAACACACAAACACACACACATGACTTAAGACCTGTACCCTCTCGTTGGGGACCTGAATCCTTTTGGTCAAATCAGGTTGTCCAGAGAACCCCAAAACCTTCATCTGTTCTCTCAGCCTAGCCAGAGGAAATTGACCTCCCCCCCCAAAAAACACACACACACACACACACTTTCTACACTCACTTCTGGCTTGTTTAACCCCTTGGCTCTTGTTTGAGGTCCTGAGGGTACTGATCCAGTCTTCGGTGTGAAGCTGGGAGGGTCTCCGAGTGCTCACTGGGAGAAGAAATAGGTCCTCAAGCCATCAGCCCTCTGTTTCCTTCCCTGGCCTGCTCTATGCAGTTGATTGTGCCTAGGAGTGGGGAAGTAATTCCCAGTTACACTCGGAGGAAAAGTAGAAGTTTGACTCCTCTCTCTTTCATAGTTTGGGTTTCCTTCTGTACCAATGGCTTGTATAATTGGAAGACTCAAGAGCCCTCCATTTCCAGTGAAGCCACGGGCCCTGATCAGCCTGTTCATAATTGTTTTAAGGTAAGAAGGTGTTGGATGCCCTTTCCCCTCCTCCCCCTGAACATTAGTGGGAGGATTTAAAAAGCTTCAGTCAGAAAATACGCCAATTTACCAAAGGTAGGTCAGGTTATTCAGGGACCTGATGAATCACCTGCTGGGCTTCCGGGAAAGCGCTGAGACAGATCAGATGTTTACTCCCTGGACCCAGATGCCCCCGAAAACCAGCGAGCCACTAAAATTACCTTTGTCATGCAGTTGACCCCAGATATAAGGAGGAAGCTGGAGAAATCGAAGACTTGAAGGGTTGATAGGTCCCAACCGTTGGAACAGCTACGGTTCGGCTGAAGTCAGAGGGGAAGAAACTCTCCCATGCTGTGGTCAATGCCTTTGGGAAACAGACAAGCAAAAAAATTAGGAAACCAGGCCAGAAAAGGGAGTTCAGGGACCCCCCAACACTGTTTGATGGGGCTCTGAGTCCATATCTGGAGGAATTTAGACAAAAATATCCACAGAGCGCTCTGCCCTGGCTTCCTCACAGCTCCCACCACTGAGGGGAAATGTGGACAGGGAAGAGAAGATCTGTTAAAAACCTTCAAGTCCTGGGAGTCTCAGCCAAGAAGGCTCAGCTGTGTGTCTCTCAGGTCACATGCCTAGGTCTTAGAGGAAGGAAAGCAGATGCCTCCCCATGACCACGGTTCAGCCATTGTGCAAATCCTCACTTCCTCGAAGAACAAGTATAGGAATTCCTGGAGCATTGGCTACTGCCAGCTATGGAGAATGGGATTCGATGAGATAGCTAAGCCCCTCTATGGCAGCATCAAGGGTATGCAGCCTTTGGAATGGATGGAGACTGAGCAGAGGGATCTTCAAAGCCAGGAAAAAGGCCCTGGTGACTGCCCCAGGCCTGGCCCTACCACGCATTACTAAGCCATTCTGCTTGTGTATGTATAAGGCCAGAAGCATTGTCTTGGGGAGGGGGGGGTCCTCACACAAACCCTGGGACCCTGGAAAAGACAGGTGGCATCTGTCCAAGAGACCCAGTTACAGCTGGAAGGCGGCATATACAAGGGCCATTCCTGCCCTGCTGGTGTGAGAAGATGACAAGTTAGTTTTAGGGCACAAACTGTTCCTCACAGCCCATGGTCTACTGGAACCCTCTTGATGGGGATGGGGGGCCATCTGAGAGATGGAGATTTAATGCCTGGGTGACTCAATGCCAAGCCCTGCTTCTGGATCAACCCCCGGTTTGGTTCTACAAAACATCAGCTCTTAACTCTACCAGTCTCCTGATGGATGATATGTTGGAGATTGATCTAATGCTAATTACTGGCCCTCAAGATCTGGCTACTTCCCAAAGGATACACCCATCTTTGTTTGTATAAACCTGCCTAAGACATACCTGATTGGTGGATTAGACAGCCTATACCTGGGCAGGGCAGAATGGGGTAGGCATGGCTAGGGTTCCCAGGCTTTTGAGGAGAATCACAGGAAACAGATGGACAGGAGAGGAAGGAGGATGCCACAATGGGTTAACCTGGAGAAGAAATGACTGACATGGGCCTGAAGGAAGGACTCCATTAATGGTGTAAAAGGGCCCAATGGTTTAAAAAGGCCCAAATGAAGAATACAAGCAATTACCATGGGATTATGGATGGAAGGTAGACCAGATGAGGAAGATTAAGGTGGATGGCATTGGATGGGGGCTGGGAGATGGATGGTGAGGATATTGGGACAGTGTAATGAAATAATCTGCCCAGCCCAAGGTAAATAAGGCAATTATAAATCTAACAGGTGTCTGTGTCTTAATATTTGTTA